GATGTCGTCCAACCTAAGAGCGATGGTCTCCAACCTAAGAGTGATGGTCTCCAAAATTTGTAGCCAAGGATTCTACATTTTCTGTACTTGCAGACTCGCGTGATGCTTCAACTCCATCGTATTGGTGAGCTTTGGCAGATCAAGGAGACCGCTTTGATCATTGCTTATGTGGTGTCTTGACAGCACCTACGCCCCTATGTCTTGGAATACTTCTGCTCAAGCCGTGCCGTTCTATGTTCATTCTATGTAAGTCCAAGAGAAGCAGGCGGCATGGAGATTTTAAAATGAACTTCTTGGCAACCTGAAATCCGGAACGTTTCGGGCGAACGCATCCGCGATTTCGATGGTGAGGCCACCTTGACTTCTTGGGTGATGTGCATGGTAAGGCTGCCAGGCGCATGGATTTGTCCGAGCCATATTCTGAATGAGTCTGGTTGTGTCAACTGAAGCAACAAAAGGTTGCGCAGTTCTGACGGAGCCACGCGGAAGAAAGACCAAAAAAGCTATTAGAAACAAGTGCATCGCTACTAGTAACAAGTGCCTTACTAGTAACAAGAAGCTATTAGAAACAAGAAGCTATCACTCAAATGGCCTGGTTCAGCAGTGCCTTGTGCGAGATGAACCGTGGATCGGACGTGTCCCTCCGCCGGAGAACGGAGGGAAACCGGAGGTGTCCGACCGGTGCACGACGACCGTTGGTTTGTTCAGGTGAAACGGTGCATTCCTCAGGCTCGGCCTGATAAGCTCTTGAGAGGTATGGAAGAAAGCCTTTGTTCTTGTAAGGTACCAAGGTACGGCAAGGTGTAGTTAAGTAGTAAATGGATGTAAATGGATTTTGGGAAGTTCAAGACAGAAGAACGCTCTTGCTGGCCGTAGAACGCATGCTGCGAAGCTGGGCTGTGGCACGTTATCCGGCAGGACAAAATGTCACCGGCCAAAGGCAAAGGCGAAGTGCTCAGAGCAAACAAAGGCGGAAACCAGAACACCCAAGGCTTCAAGGGCTTGCAGCTACAGCCGCATGCTGCGTCTCAGAAAAGAACTTTCTAAGGAAACTTAATGTTTCCGTGACTTGAAAAGGACAGAGCAGACAGAGTTGAGGTTGTATTTAATAATATGTTTGGACCGCTAACTTCCAATCACTCAAAATGCACAAGTCAATGAGTCGAGCAATGACTCCCACCCACCAATGCCTCACATCCGTACGGCGTGCAAGTTGTTGGCGAATGTTGTTTCGCACAGGCAAGGGCGGCAAGGGGAAAGGTGCACCTCCATCCTACAATGGCCTGATTCCTAGAGCTGGCCAGGGAGTTGGGAGTTGTATACAAAGATAGCTACGTTGGTAGCATCCTTGCTCCTAGTAGTAATGCCTTTGTTACTAGTAGCGTCCTTGCTCCTAGTAGTGATTGCCCTTTGTTCCTAGTAGCGATGCCCAATGGCCTGATTCCTAGAGCTGGGTAAAACGGTTTGTTGGGAATTGTATACAAGGACGATAGCTACGTTCGTAGCACTCCTGCCCTTTGTTTGTAGTAGCGTCCTCTTGTTACTAGATAGTAAGGCCAGGAGCGCCCCGTTCGGTTCGCGTCCTGGTTCCACCCAGGCGGCGGTCCTCCACCAGGCGGGGCTGCCTTCGGGGCCTTGGCGGCCTCGGCCACCGTGTGTTTCAATAGGCCAAGTCGTTGGTGAAGGCCTACTAGCGATGGCCTTCACCCTAAGAGCGATGGCCTCCAACCCACAAAGGCATAATCGTTCAGTTTCTTTTTGGAGGAAGTCTTTGTTTGGGTTTGGGAGATGGTGAATAGATATGTTCTTGAATGATTATGGATGTGCATGTGTCAATGATTCGTTGAAACGAGTTGTTGATGGATGTTTGGGGGTCGAATTGGTTGATCTTTTACGCACTCACAGACTTCACAGTCCAGGTTCCGGCGGATATCCTCCCAGCTATGGCTATGGCTACCCACCGCCTGCCTATGGAGGGTGCCCGGGCGGTCAGTTCCTCAGATGGGACTCTTCTTCGAGCCCCTCTTTCAGCCAAAAATCAGAAGCACATCATAGCCTGGATGTCAAACTGAGGCTATGGTGGATATCCTCCGCCTGGGCCCTATGGCTATCAGGCCAGATATCCGGAGATGTCATGATTTTCGTGAATCCCATCGCCCCTCTCAGAAGAACGTGGAAACAGACAGCGACTTTGGACTTTCTGGCCTGAGAGGGATGAAACGTTCTTCTCTTTCGAAGTTTCGTTGTCCTTTCGAAATCATACTTCAAGAACGCGCTGCGTAACGGAAAAACCAGACGTAACGGAAATCCTTTTAGCCGCTTTGGCCCAGGGCTATGGCTACCCACCCGGTTATGGTGCACCAGGCTACGGAGGTCAGCCTCCGCGTCGTCACGAGACTCTCACGTCGTCACAGACGCTGGTCTTCGACCGAAACGCGGGTCCTTTTTTGCGTTCGACCGAAAACAGGCTTTCACGAGATCCAGGCCTGTTTTGTTTTTTTTTCATGATCTTTCGTCCTTTTTTGCTTTTTCTAGATCTTTCATGATCTCTTTTCTAGTCTTGGGCTGCCTATCAACGTCTCGGACATAAGATCATGAGGTCTGACCCATTTGCAAAGGTTGTCCTTCCCACCAAATCAGATCCAGTCGTGCAAGAAGAGAAGTTGGTATGGGTGTGTGTGTGTGTCCAAAACAAAAAGACTCAAGGCTAATTGTTCATCTGTTTTTTTCCTCGTTACAACTGCTTCCCCGTCCACCCTTTGTTTTTGGACCACGTTGCCACAGGTTATGGCGGGTATCCACCGAATGGCCCTGGTCGCACAGCAAAGAGCCACAGAGTGTCCTTTCGAACGAAGGAGAGCGAGCAAGAGAGAGAGAGAGAGAGAAGGGAATCTAATTGTAATGGCCTCCTGGCTTGGAACCTTCAGATATGTCTTGAAATGTATGTAGGCGGATTCCGATGGGCTTCAGAAGCAGAAAGAGGGCTTCTTGATGTGGAGTTCGCTGAAGAAGATCAAAAGGAACCTCCTCTGGTCAACCGAGGCTCCCTACTGAGCTTTGCATACTGCTCGATGAAAAAAAATACCCGGCAGTTCATCAACTCTAAACATTTGCTTTAGACTCGACTGTGTTTATAGTATTTTCGAATGTTATCCTTCAAGTCCTTGGCAGATCTGGTAAGTTGTCAATGCGTTGGAACGGAACCAAGACGCAGACGCGCGTCTCGGTTGTGGCAGCTACACCCGAAGTGACGTTCACCGGACCCCCTTGGCACGCCGGCCTTGGCGTGGAAGAGAGAGGGTCCGGCCATCCAAAGGGGAAGTGTAGACCATTTTTTCAGCGACGTCAGCGACGAGCGACGTCAGAGAATACATGTAAATCAAGAAATGGTATACCTGCGGAAAAGGACAAGGTGATGCAATACGCCTGCTATGGCTCAAGATTTGGAAGCGCTGCCATGTTGCGCGCAACGATTCGTGCCTCAGACAGCAAACGTTTTGGTCATCTGTTTGTTACAGCTCTTTGTGATGGGCGAAGCAGCAGGGGCTGTTCGACCGATTCATTGCGACCGATGTTTTTGAAAAACGGTCCAAATGTAGAGGTGTGGACAGACTTTCAGCCCCACACATACACCAAGCAATGTAGATATAATAGTTCATGCAGTCAGTTCCAATGCTCTTGCCTCCTCGGGCTAGATTCGGTGAACTCATTCAGGTTTGGTGATGAGCGCGGTCGTGAGCATGGGTGAGGAGTCCGGAAGGGGTTCTGTGGAGTTCAGTCGCTCCAGTCAGCTTCTGTTACTAGTAGCAATGCCCTTGTTCCTAGAAGCTTTTTGTTACCAGTTGAAGACGGGAGGTTTATCGGAACCTTCGATCAGACGGTGAAGTTCTGGAGTTGAGTCGGTTAGGCCAGGAGCCCCTAGTAGCATCCTTGTTCCTAGTAGCAATGCCCTTTTTGCTCCTAGTAGCGTCTTGATGAAACCCAGATGACAACTTGCCTCGTTCTTCACCAGGAGCCCATCGTGGAACCGCCTCCACCAGAAGGGGCCTTAGACTTTTCCGGTGTCGTTGGTGCAGACCAAGGGAGAAATGCTCCTTTCTTTCACATGTCACCAGCGAATATGTGCTCAATTGTCCTTCTATCCACAACCGATAGAAGCCGCTCGATTTTCCCATGCCCATATGCCAAGTGTCAGTTTTTCCCCGTGTTCTTGGAAGTCTGCAGAACCAGCTGGTCTTTCGGTCGAGGCTCCTCCCTTTTCTCTTCCCAGGTGCTTCCGCCCATGTTTCCATGCGACAACCAAAGCATCCGCCAGCATGCCCAGCACCAGCACATGAGAGGAGGCCGGAACGGCAGGAATGGCAGGGACGGCAGGGGCGAGCACCGTTGAGAGGCAAGCACAGCACCAAGTGCTAGAAAGCGTGGCTCAAGAATGGTCTTTTGCGTTTCGGTGTTTTCCTTTTCCCTGATGTTTCTTTTGATCCAATGATCCATGTTTGAAGGCTTGATCGTGGAAAAGGATGTATTTAAGTTGAAGTGAAGCCATTTGAACTTGCTTGCGCGAGAGGTTGTGCTGATGGTGCCAAGTGCTACGCTGCTCAGGACTCTCAGTGGATACCAGGTTCCAGGGAGACAAGTGGCAGCTTTTCCCCTGTTGAGACCTATGTGACGATTGCGTGAGGACATCGATCACTGTGGAACTGACACCTATTGTTGTGCTCCAGTCGAAACCTCAGGATGCGACATCACCCATCACTGGAGGTAGCAGCACTGCCAAGATTTGCAAACCCGAATAGGCCCGAAAAAGGCTCTATGAAGGAGAAGAGTCACTGAAAGGCTAGAATGGTTTCAATTCTGTAGCTGCAAGCATCCTGCAAGCTGCGTCTTACACAGCCGAGAAAAATCCAGGAATGTCACCACGGCTGATCATGCCTTGAAGTAAAGATCATAAGATCATGCCATGGTGTACGTATTTCTCTCACTGTGCATCTCATCGTGGGGGTTGACTACCGGACCTCAGGTGGTTCAGCAGTGCACTTCTGGTGCCACATGCTTTGCAACAGAGAGGAGTGACGACACGTCTGGAAGACGTGTCGTTTGCGTTGAGTTTTGGGTGTTCCCGACATAGGATGCCATGCTTGGAAAGGTGGATGTTTTTTGCCTTTTGATGCAAAGACTTGGCAGAATCGCACCCAGATGTCCGATTCTGTCCCAAAGTCTTCAAAAACGGAATCCTTTTGGTAAATCCCATCTTGTCCGGTCTAGAAAACCAAGACACCTTCCACCCGAACCCATCGTGAAGACGAGGATTGAGATGTGCGAACCTTGGGCGTCGTGCTGTGCGCCGACCGTGCGAACCTGCCTTTCGCCCTCTTGCAGTGAGGACGGACGGACGGACGGAACTGGTGGCTTGGTGAGTTGCAGGCGTGAAGGCGTAGCTCAGAACCCGCTTTGCTATGCCTGACTTGACTGAAGTATCAGTAAGCTTCTATAGGAACTGAAGGCAGGATGGCTCACGCTCGCACCAAACTCGACTTTTTCGGGGGAGGGAGCAGAGGCAAAAGTGATGAGTTAGAGTCTAAGAGGAACTCTGCCGACGTGGTTTACCAGCTGTTTTCACGAAGGATTCGGATGTCTTTGATGTCCCAGGGAGATAGTACTGCGCAAGAGAGGAGCTCGAAGGAAGTAGGACAAAAAGGAGAAACCAGCTACAAGCTTCTGGCAAAAAGCACGTTGAAGGTTACAAACAGATATGGAAACGACTGCTTTTGTGGCCAGGACTTTCCCGCATGTACTTCTGTGTAACCCAGGTGGGGACGAATTGGCCGGAGTCCGGACTTGTTGGATATCAGACAATCAGATTTTTCTACCATCTTATGTCTTGTGTCTTATGTCTCGTGTATACCTCTTATGTTATTTGTGCGCCAAAGTATTGGAAGAAACTGGTTTCTATTGGAACTGCAATGCGGCAGCAATGCGACAGTCGCAGTGGATCCTCACATCTTTGCAGGTTAGACACTGGCCAGTGAGGCCTTGTAAAGCTGTTTTTGGGAGATTGATTCCTTCATCTCGAAGGCACACTTCGGCACGGTTCCCAGTGGCCAAGCAATACAAGTCGACCCCAACAATCTTCCAGAATCTGAGGAGAAGAAATGGAAAAGACGCATCTCAAATCTCTAAACATGAAATTCTTGACCACATGGGGCTGTAGCCGAGGGTGCTCTCCCAGCCGCTTTGTTTGCGCCCATGTACAGCCGGCAACACGAGCTTCGACCCAGTTGGACCCGACGGTGATCACCTTAGGCCCTAGGCCAAGAGGAGGAGACCAGAAATTGACCAAACTACGTACGTTCACCGCGTTCTTGCGAGGAAGGAGGCTGTTGGAGTGTGTAGCGATGGTTTCCAGCCCATTCTGGTTGACAGTGACCAGTGACATCCAGTGACCATGTAGAAGTTTTGAAGCCTAGATTCTGCAGCGGTCGAATGCTGCTGGATCCAGGATCAGGCTGCTGGTCGAACGCTTTGCCCAGGGCCACTTGAACACATGTTCGGTGTAGCTCTTACAGCGGGAAAGATAGGGTTTGGTCGCAGACTGTCAGGAAATCCTGAACTGGCTGACCAGACTGTTTCCCTCGAATTCATCCAGCCGCATGGACCGGACGACCGCACGTCGGTTTCGGCAGACAGCGCAAAAGGGGCGCATAGATACCGAAGTTCCGGACGTGCCGTTTCTTGCTTCAGCTACTAGTAGTAACAAGTGCCACGCTAGTAGAAACAAGTGCCTTACTAGTAGTAACAAGAAGCTATTAGAAACGAGTGCATCGCTACTAGTAACAGCATGTTGAACTGCAGCATGTTTGTGGGTGGTGACAAGGGTTTACCTAGTTCAGTGTAAACTCTGGAAAGCCTAACAATCTGTTGGGCAAGAACGCTACTACTTGCCGCCACTGGTCTAGAAGATCTTGTTTGCTTCTGAACAGGTATTTCTGCTTTGAGAGCGGGCCTCACGAAAGGCGTGTCCAACTTCAAACAGGTCGTTCGGAGGATGAAGGGTTGCGCAGCTTCCACAATTTGCCTGAATCTTGCCATTGTTCTCAAGACCTCACATGTGCAGATTCAGGGTCTGCCAAGTTTGGCAGGCGCTGCTTGGGTTTTTTGTTTTCGTTTTGGTGGTGCTGAGTGGAGTTTTATGGTTTCCGCCACTCATGCATGCCAATGAGCCATGGCCACCCTTCCCCGTTTTTCGACCTCCTGGTCTCGACGCACCTCCTGTTTTGGGTTCTGCTCGTTCTCCTTCACAGACAACAAAGCAAACCAAGAAGCACGTGTCTCCGTCAAAGGCAAGGAGAGATTTTTCCCGAGCTGCGGCGAGAGAGCGTTTTCTGGCCAAGCTTTGTAAAGAAGAAAGCCACAAGGCAGATTGTTGTGAAGACCTGAGTCCGGTGCCTTTGGAGCAAGTTCTCAGGGCTGTGTTGGAGAAAAGTGACAATGCTTTCAGTGTGTTCTTCCGGTCTTGGCAGGAGCGCAAGCCCCCTGACAGGCCAGCTGGAAGACAACGAGACATTTTCCCCATCTCTCCGGTTGAACAGTGGGACTTCTCAGGACAAGTTTTTTCTGAAAGTGCGGGCCTTCTTTTTCTCAACGCATGCGTGGCGGCTCTCAACTTTCTGGCAGGTGACTTGAAGTTCGGCCAGGCCAGAGCTGACAGAAACCACCGGCACACTGCTGCTCAGCGAAGCGTCCTCAAGCACCTCGCTGATCGGGTTGCCAGGTTTCTTGGCGAAGTTGTGAGTCACTGCAGTGGTGACCGGGTACTGGTGGACAATGCGTTTGGGGATATTTGAAGGCAAGGCTGCGGGAAAGTATCCCACTTTACTTGCTGAAAAGGTTGACTTGCCCAACAAAGCTGGCACGTGCAACCCGCAGTGTTTGGTTCCGGACAGTTTGGCTTCTGCAGTTTCATCCCAAGAGGAGGTTTTCACTGTTGATGACGCAAGGCTGATGGAGACTGACTTGCATGTAGGAGTTGACCGGGAAGAGTACTTGAAACTAGTTGTCAGGCAGTTAGAGTGTGGCAAGACAAGGCTTCGACGTAACATTAAGGCGGTGGGCAGTGTTTTTTCTGTAGCCAAGTCTGGTGAGCGCCAGCGAGAAGTTTGGAACGGTTCCTTCGTTTCTGCGCTGGCCGAAAAGCCACCGCCACCAATGCTGTTGGCGAATCCTAGCTGTTTTGTTGACCTCGTTTTCCAACCCCATGAAGAAGTATTCATGTCCAAGCGTGATGTGCACACTTGTTTCGATGTGCTCAAGGCGCCGGAATCTCTGCAACCTTGGTTTGGCAGGCCCCCTGTGACTCTGTTTGAGTTGCAGCGAGTCACGGGCTTTCCCGTCGAATTGTTTTTGCCTTATGTGGCGGATGTTGAGACTTCGGACGTTGACATTGGTGAAAAGCTCTACCCTGCGAGCACTGTGTGGCCAATGGGCTTCAGTTGGTCTTCTTGCGTTGCACAGGCTTCTACTGTGGCCTGTTGTGTCGAAGCTGGTGTCCGCCAGGAAAGTTTTCTGTGCATGGACTCTCCGCCACCAGCGATTGGAGAGGCATGTGGGGTGGCTACAGATGACACTTTCTTTTTCCACACAGACAAAGTCTTGGGCTTGAAGCGCCTCAAGGCGTTGGATGCTGCCTTCGAAAGACATGGTATGCCGAAGAATGCTACGAAGGACGTCACTTTGCAAGACAATATGACTGCTTTGGGTTGCAAGCTTTCGGCCAAGCCAGGAGCAGCTGAACCAGTGAGTGCAAAAATGGTTCCGCTTTTTCTGGCTTGGCTGGGCCTTTTGTCTACACGCAGCGCCAGTCCTTTGGCTGTTAACAGGGCTTTGGGTGTGCAGCAGTGGTTCTGCCTATTGTCCCGTCCTTTGTTCAGTATTCTTGATCGAACGTATGAGTTCGTGTGGCAAGAGCCCGGAAACAAAATTGTGGATCTACCGGGCGGTGTTTGTGCAGAAATTGCTGTTTCAGTTTTTCTGATGCCTTTGTTGGGGGCTGACTTGGAACGGCAATATCTTCCACTTATCACTGCTTGCGATGCTTCCCCTGATTTCGGTTTTGGTGTGGCTTACATGAAATGTCAACAAGATGTCGCTGAACAGGTTGGCCGGTTGGCAGAGAGGAGGGGTGATTTTGTGAAATTTTTCCTTCAACCAGGAGAGCCTGAGCCAAAAGACAGGCTTGGTGTGCCACATCTTCTTCCTTTTCACCAGAAACAGTTCAGCATAGCCATCAGTGCGAAGGCAAAGTTTCAGGCCCACTCCGGCGCTCTTGAAGCTCATGGTTTGCTTTTGGCTTTGAAATGGCTGTGCAGACGACCGTCTCATTTTCACCACAGGTTGGTTGTCTTGATTAACGCAAAGGCAGTGCTGGGTGCGGCGAGCAAAGGGCGCACCTCAGCACCTGCCATTCGTGGTGTTGTGCGCCACATCGGCGCTTTACTGCTGGCCACTGGAACATTGCTTCGGCTGGTCTATGTTCCTACTGAGCATAACCCGGCGGATGCCCCTTCACGTGGTAAGCGTTTCAGGCACAAAGGCCGCGCTAGAAGACGCACAAAGCGGTCCAGATTTGGCACTGTTTTTCAAAGACGAATGGAGAAGTTTGTGGATGCAATCGGTCGACTCAAGCGGTTTTGCTAGTTTCATTTGGCTCCATACACATTTTTGCCTGTACAGTTTCATATTTTTCACACCTACACTCAGCCAGTGGCGTCCGGGAACGTTGTGACAGTGCTTTGTTTATACCCTGGCCGGCTTCAACCAGCTGCTGGCGAAGCTGGGTTCTGACGTCACTGATGTGAGTTACCGCAGTTTGCGCCCACTGCGAAGTACTTCCGAGTAGTCCAGCGTGATTGCTGGGCAGCTTGCTTTTGTGATATGCTGCTGCTGTCCCCTGAATCAGCACCTTCGCTGCATACACTTACAGGCTGCGTGCATGAGCCGGCACTTTTCTGTGCCAGTCGCCTGGTGGTTGGGATTTTGACACTTTGTGTGAAACTTTGGCAGCTTCTTTCGCTTGGACAATACGAGGTTCTCTT